CGGCTGTCCAGATGAATGAGCAGGACTTAACCAATACTCCGGTGGAGGGGCCTTTCATACTTTCTCATCTTTATCTTGGTGAAGGGAAATGAGTAATTTGATAGAAACTAGTTTTACAGGAAACAGGATTCAAATGCTAATAGTTCTGTCCATAGTTTGGTTGAACGTCCCAGCAAGCAGGGTCCCCAAAGGATTCGGAATCCCACCCTGTGATTTTGTGACAATGTGATTCTGCAGTAGGTGCTCTACAGTCTTCATTCCTGTGTGGACTGTATAATTTCACGATAATAGTTATGAGAAATGCTTTATTTATAACTCACACAACAAACTATATCGTTGTAGGGTTTTTCCCTTTTCCCTTAGTTTATTTTTTAATGAACGCAAAACCACAAAGTAGTTTGATTATACCATTTCTCTTTTTAATAAAGTTTCATATAAGATGGCTATTTGCATTTTTTTAATTTAGCTAAAATTACCTGTCATGAAATTTGGCGTGGGAAGCTGGTTAAAGAAGAATATATTTTAGACATTTGGCAGCTATCTTATTTATACTCGCTAAAGGAAACAAAATAAAATAACAATATATCTCCACAAATAATATGACTCTCCCCAAACATTGTTTCCTCAAACATACCACACTTCTTCATTCTCAGCCTCACACCTTTGAGAAAATCAACCACATTACACACATCTCTTCCTCCTGTTACAACAGAAGAAGTGTTTCTGCTGCTGGCAGGGCCAGCCTCTCACTGGGCTCTGGACCTCATCATCCTTTCTTGCTTTCACAAGGACTTCATTTCCTCAGTTCTCAGGTTTTCCTCCTGCATGGAGTCATCGTCAATACCCACCATTAAAACATAGAAAGCAATTTTTAAAAAAGCCCTTGTCCTAAACTCCATAACCCTCTCCAACCCAGATTCTGTTCCCTTAGTAGCAGAACTTAAAGCATTGCCCACTTTTCACCCTGCACCACCTTAACCCATGCATTCCTCAACCCATTCCAATGGCTTCCAATCCAGTGTACCCTGTCCCCTTCTCCCCCTCATGCCAATCCACTGTTAATATCAATGGCCATCACACCATTCCCCCTGGCTCCTTCCCCATTTTTATCTTATTTATCCCTTCAACAACAGTTGGGGGTTCCTTCCCTCTAAACATCCTCTAGTTTCTTGGTTCTGCAACATGAGCCCCTGCCAGCCTTCCAACGTCCTCAACTGCTATCTCACCTCTGTCTCTTTTGCTGGTTACTTCTTTCTGTGACTTGAATGTTGGCATGCCTCATGGTCCGACACTGGGACCTTTTCTCTCTCTTACTCTCTGGGGTGGACTGAGAAACGTCCCCAAAGATTTTATGTTCTAGTCCTCACACCTGTGAATGTTATTGGCCAAAAAGTTCATTTGTTTTTTTCCATTAGATGGTTCTAGTAGCACTTGGTTTTCTTTAACTTCATTCAAAACAATTTTGTTAGATTGTATTGTGACAGCTGTCACATTAGTGTGCTTTTGAACAAAACTTATCGAAATTGGTGAATTTTTGTGCAGTCATTTTAATATTGAAGGTGGAAGAAAAATACACAACATTTTTGGTATGTTATGCTTTATTATTTCAAGAAAGGTAAAATCACAACTGAAATGCAAAAAATGATTTGTGCAGTGAATGGAGAAGGTGCTGTGACTGACTGAACATGTCACAAGTGGTTTGTGAAGTTTTGTGCTGAGGATTTCTCAATGGGCGTTGCTCCATGATTAGGTAGACCAGTTGAAGGTGACAGTGATCAAAACGAGACATGAATTGACAGCAATCAAAGTTATACTACATGGGAGATAGAAGACATACTCAAAATATCCAAAATCAATAAAGTTATTAATGAAAATGAAAATGTGTCTTATTTTACAGAAAAAAACTAAATGGACTTTTTGGCCCACCCAATACTTATGGCAAAAAGGACTGCAGGTATGGTTAAGCTAAACATCTTAATATGAGAAGCAGATACTGGATTACAGAAATTAGCCATAAATGTAATCACAAGTGTTTTTCTCAAAGAGAGGCAGAGGCACATTTGACTACCGAGGAGGGCAATGTGATAACTGAGGCAAGATTCTATGCCACTATTCTGGGAGATAGAGGAAGGAGCCACAAGCCAAAGAATGCTGCTTTGAAAGGTGGAAAAAGCAAGGGAACATATTCTTCGCCAAAGCTCATGGAGGGAGTATTGCCCACTGACATCTTGATTTTATCTCAGTGAAACTCATTTCAGACTTCGAGAACTCAAAGAGAATGAATGCGTGTCAGCAAATTGTGATGATTTGTTTCAGTCCTCTCTATAAGTTAGGGCTGGCAAATTGTGATGATTTGTTCCAGCCCTCTCTATAAGTTAGGTCATGGATCTGAATAGATTATGCTAATAATTTCCAAATGTGTTTCTCATTAGGCTGCGGACCGCAAACTCTGCTCAGGCGGGATCACTGCAGCAGTGCCCTCTGCAGCCTCTCTACCACCCGTCTTGCTCCTTGCATGCACTCCGCACACCTGCAGCCCTGTTCTTCCAAATCTGATCACATCACCTCCTGGTGAACACCCTTTAATATCTTTCCATTTCACTTCTTTTTTCTTCTCTACAAAATCTCAAAACACCCCCAGTATTACTGAGAACAGGAATACTAATGTAAACAAAACAAAAATGCACAAACATTGGTCGACCATTTCTTAGCAAATTCTCTTTCTTGCCTCTGATGTAAATTCGACAACTGTGGATTGACTTTCTGCTAAGTGTAAAAAACTCTGCCAGGGCTGAGGGCAATTCACAAAACTGCAGATTCTGTCAAGATCCTGAGAGGAACTAGACAGGTAATGAGAAAGCAGAGATACAATCAACCATCACACACAAGGCAAAATAAGCTAAATGCTGGACCAGAAGAACAAAGTGCTAGGGAGGGAGTGATTCATCACAACATGAAAGAGGGGACATTTGAGCCTCTCAGATGTGTTCATTTGACAAGAAAAGAAGCAGCACAGCACCCCTACTATCATTCACTGCTAGAAAGCTCCAGTCCCAGCTTTGCCTGCCACAAACAGACTGATCCATCTAAGCGCCACCCCTTTATGCATGCTTATTGGCACACCCATCATTCACAAACTCACCTTTTCCACCTTGTATTAGAGTTAATTGTGCACATACCTTATTTCTCTTACTAAGCCATGAGGTCTTCAAGGAAATGGAATGTGTCCACTTCACCTTTGCTTCCTCATTCATCAAAACCAGAACTGGCCCATCTCTGGTCTCTAATATATGTCTTGAGTATATGGATAAATGCATAAGTTGAGCTACTTGTTTTTGAATAATATTTTCAAGGTCAAATGTTTACATATCCCTTCAGACACTTAATAAATATTTATTAAAAGATTTACTATGTGTGAGGCTTTTGTGCTAAATGTTAGAGATAAGAGCAGTATACTTGGGCATGGACCTGTTCTCATGAAGCTTACCATGAGACAAACATTAAAGAAATAAACAGTTAAGCAAACACTTGTTGAATTATAGTTGTGATTATCATTAAGAAAAAATAGAGGGCAACAATAAAAGATAACACTTCTATAGCACTCATCTGCTATCTCAGGCACTTTATATAGATTTAAGTCTTTTGATCCTTGTCACAATCATAAGAGGTATAAGCACTTTACAGATGAGAAAACTGAGGCACAGGAGGGTCAAGTAGTTTTCCCAAGGCCCACAACCAGTGACCAGGAGTGCCAGTGCTGCAAGAATATATTACACAGTGACCCAATCTAGTACAGTGTACTCAGAGAAGACTTTCCTGGGGAAGCAACAACCATCTGATATCTGCAGGGTGAATAAGAGTTGCCCAGGCAAAAAGGCTACTGTGGGAATGTTTTGGGCCAGGTTGGGCCTGGAGAAGACCAAGGGCCCGACAAACATGAAGAACTGTATGGAAAGTAGTGAAGTTGGTAAGACAGGCAGTGACCATACTAAGAAATTTGGATTTTATCTTGAAAGTACTGTATCCTTTAAGAAGGGGGAGATGACACGATCAGATTAGAGTTTTAAAAAGCTCCCTTCAGCAGCTGTGGGAGAAACTGGCTTGCAGGCCTAAGGGGATATATTCCTGTATGTGGTCAGGAGAGAGGCTGATGGCCTGAATTGGGGTGTTTAGAAGTGCAGGGAAAGGAGTACTGCCAGGTTTTCTATACATAGGAGAGAGAAACAAGAGAATTTGGAAGTTGGTTATGGCAGCTGGGAGAGATGGAAGTGTTGGGCAGATGGGTGGATGGTGATACACTGAGCAAGATGTAGAAGACTGGAGTTCAGGTTGAGAAAGATGAGGATTGCAGTTCTGGCCATTATGAGTTTGAAGGCATCCTAGTGGAGAGTTGTGTAGGCCATTGGATGCGTGCTCAGAGAACAGGCTAGGGTGGAGATGGACATGTGGGAGTTGAGGGCATACAGAAGAGGCTTGTGTGCATGGACCCCATCCCCACCCTCGCCAACACACACACACACACACACACACACACACATACATTCATGTACAAGCAGCAGAGAAGGCAGACCAGCCTCGTTCCAAGGAGACTTCATGTTTAAAGGCCCTGTCTACTCCAAAGTTGCTGATTAGAGTATGTCCTATCTATTTTTCAGCAACCACTTTCTGTTAAGTGGTTCAGAAGCTGCTCTCCCCCAACACCCACTCATCCTTGATCTCCCTTCCGGTGGCTTTCACCAAGGCTCCCTTGGGCAAAGCAAGAGAAGCTTAGACTGAGCATCGATAATCAAGGCCCGAGACCCAGTCACACTCAGGGCTCACCACCTCTGACTGTCCCCATCATCCCTGTCCCGCCCAGTCTACCAACCCCCCTTCCAGGCTGCACTCTCAAAGCTCCTAGAAGGACCCAGAGCTCCTTCTTCCCACACATGCTCACCCTACACTGCGCGACTGCCGTACCCGTAGCTCTTTGGAGCATTCGCAGCTCCTTTTAACCTCATTTACCGTGTGGAAATGTTGTGGGTGGGGCATAAAAGGGGACCACCCGGTAAGGCGTTGCTTTCAGAAATGTTTTGAAAAGTCCGGCTGCTCAGAAGTTTGAGAATAAGGATGGAAGAGGCGTGAAGATAATCGGACTGAGGCCATTCTTCGGATGGGAAGATCCCTTTGGGGATGTAGAAGCGGGGGGTCGCGGGATGCTGCGGTGCCACCCGCTCCGCGTCACCGCCGTTTCCGGAAACCCCCCACCCCCGAGTCCGCGGTCTCCCCCCTAGTTCCGGGGAAGTGCGATCGAGCGGGCTGAAGGCGCGAGCTGGCCCGGAGGAAACTTCGGCGGCTGCACGGCACGAAGAGGCCAGGCGAAAGGGCAGCACCTAGTTCCCTGATTGATTTTCTCGCCTCCCTTGCACGCGAGAGGCGCGAGGCCCGGGTGGCGCGCACGTAGTGGGCACCTGCGCAGGCGGAGCGCGAGCGAGCGCGCGAGCTCGGACGCCCAGCAGAGGCTGCGGGAGCGCGGCGAAGTCTCGGGGAGCCGGGTGCACGGAGGCACAAAGGCTGGTGATGCTGGAACTACTGAAGAGACGGCAAAGGGAAAGCGAAAGCCCCGGGCTTGGCCAGTGACTGGGTGCAGGCGCCGCGCAGCCTTCCCCACGCCGACAGTTCCTGGGGCTGTCCTCTGGGGGCTGACGGGCCGAGCCGGCGCGCAGCAGCCATGGCCATCGCCCACCTGGCCACCGAGTACGTGTTCTCGGACTTCTTACTGAAGGAGCCCTCGGAGCCCAAGTTCAAGGGGCTGCGGCTGGAGCTGGCCGTGGACAAGATGATCACATACATTGCCGTAGGGATGCCCTTGCTGCTCATCTCGCTGGCCTACGCGCAGGAAATCTCGATCGGTAAGGCCTGGGGTGGGAGGGGAGTGGCGAGCGGGAGAAGGAAAGCGATTCGTGCTGAGTCGGCATCCTGGGCGGTGCCCGGGTGTCACGAGACGTGATTTTACCTTGTGCCCCTGGCGGTGCTTATCGCCGAGATGGGCGTGAACGCTGGGAAGAAAGGTAGCCCCAGTGTAACTAGGTCCACGTGCTTCATTTGTATTTCTGTGGACTTTGCTCGCATCCCTACTCAGTTCTGTTTCCTGCGTCCCATTGATCCCGACTGTGGCTTAGGTCCCGATTGTTCCACACTTATGACCCCCACCAGCTTTGCCCAGAAGAACTGTCTGCTTTCTTTTCCTCTACACACACTTGAGTCATCACCTAAAATTTTGTACCAGAGAAGTTCTGAGTGGCCAAAACGTTGGATATGGAGACAGGTGCTCCATGAAATGGAGGTGTGGTTTCCCTTTGTTATCTTATGTTCATTGATATTTACTGAACCCTTAGTGCAGGGTTCTGAATGCTAGGAAAGAGCAGTAGTTGGCAGGCAATAGAGAGATATCGACATTCTCCACCTGCACCCACTTATTATGAATGTGAAATGAATGAGTCCCCTTTGTGTAAACTCTCACCTGATCAAAACAGTTCTGTAAGATTCGAAAGTCTGGTGGTTTGGGCAGGATTGCGTGGCTAAAAAGTGTATAGTGGTACTCGTCAGGTCTTCTGACTTTCAGCAGAGGAGAGAGTGTTTGTGAGTCAACAGGAAGGAGTGAATGACAGACAGCTAGAGACAGTTCTGGTGGGGGTGGGGGAGGGGAAGAAGCAGAGGCTGGTGGAACTGAACCTCTGATAGGCTGGGCTGGCCCTGAGCCTTGGAGTGCGGGTAGGATTTAGGAGAAGCAGATGTGAGACCTTTGCCAAGATTTTGAGATGGCAGGAAATGTTATGTGTTCCTGGAAGCAGAGACGCAGCGACGGTTCTAGCTGAGGCAGGAGGATTGTTAGTCAGTGTTCCTGAGATAGGATAACGAATGTGGGTATGGGTCACTTAGAACAGAGGAGTACAGACTTGGTGGTTTAAAAGCATGACATTCTTATTTGAGCAAAGGATGGACTGGTTGAAAACAGCATTTAATAAATAATAGTCTGATAGTGGCATGTAGGGCCTGTGAAGGGGGGGAGAGTGGAGTTAAGGAGGCTGGATGCTGTACAACAGGGCATCAGTTGAGGTCTTGTGCATCTGTGGGGGCCAACAGTGGAGGGAAAGGATGGGAAAGGGTGATTTCTGAGAGACTGAGGAGCAAGGAGCAGCACTTGGGTACTCATTTGGAAGGGCAGAGACTGGTCAGAGTTTTGGAAAGGCTGCTGGCCTGGGTGAGCGGAGAATGGTGTTGTTATTGACAGAAAGGGTAAATTGAGAGAAGAGCTGGTTCGGAAAGGGTCACGACGAGTTCGAGTTTATGATCTCTGGCACTAAGTTGTTCAACTTCTCAGGAAGTTGCAATCATTGTGGAAAAATAAGTGTTCCGTTTGCCTTATCTCTGGCTAGGCATGGCCCCAGGGTTTCCTTCTAGCCTTCCAGCTGGGCAGGTGTTGAGGCTGCCAGTGGAGAGGGAAACCACTGAGTAACGTGGGTCCTGCAGATAGTCTGCCCCTTCAGGAACCGTTTCTTGAGTATGTGGGCTGTGGGCTGGACCCAGCGCTGGGCACCGAGGACCGGGGCGTAAATGAGGCGTGTCCTTGTCATGGAGCAGCAATAGTCTAGGGCACTTGATGCCACGAGGGAGGAGTTGGTTACCATCCATGGTCAAATGGCCACATATTAGAGGGACACCTGAAGTACCTGCACCAGTAATGCTCAACACATCCAAACTGAAGGGGCCTGAGAGGCATTTAGCTGGTATCGGGGACGGGTTTATACAGCAAAGGCATGACCTCACGCTGTGTGCATAGCCAGGCTGGGCACTGAGGGAGACAGGAAAGGAGTTTGAGGCACAGTCCTCTCCCCACCCTGTGGGAATTTACTACCCACCTAGTCACTAGAACAGACAGGCTGACAGGCAGCCTCATTTAGTTACGTGATTCGGTGAGAAGACAGTGTAGCGGTGAAGGTTGGCTGGGACTTGGCTGAAGAGCTGTCGAGCAGATTCCCATGTCTTCTCAAAGTCTTCAGGACCCCCAAGAGGAGGACAGGCGGGTGGGGCGAAGCCGTCAGCACCAGGGAAGACCTAGCAGGTTGAGTACACATTGCATAAAGTCAGAAGAAAGGCTCTGGAGAGGAGCGAGGTATATAAGTTACTACCTGGAATCAGCACAGTGGGGTCATGTCATGAAACATTTTGTTTTATGCAAATTCAGCCTTTATACAAAAACAAAGCAATGAAGGAGAACAACAGCAAGAGAGAGGAGTGATTCAAATGGAGCAGGCACTTTTGCCCACCCCCTTGGTGAATGAGCCCTCGCCCCAGGAGTGTGAAAGAGGCCTGCAGACTTTCAACATGGCTCATCCTCCCTCACATGACCAGCGTTCCCTGCCTCTCTGGTGCCAGGGATAGTCTGATAGTTTCTCATTGTTGCATTTCGTACATTGTGTTAGAACCTGTCCCTGTGGCTACACCACCTGCAAGATACTTCATGTATCTTCTTTTTTTTTTTTAGATTTTTAAAATTTATCTTTATAGGGGAAGGGAAAGAGAGAGGGAGAGAAATATCAATGTATGGTTGCCTCTTGTGCGTCCCCTGCTGGGAACTGGCCTGCAACCCAGGCATGTGCCCTGACTGGGAATCGAACCTTGATCCTTTGGTTCATAGGCCCGCACTCAGTCCACTGAGCTACACCAGCCAGGGGTTCGTGTATCGTCCGTTGGCCCCTAGAAGCTGGCCAATGCAGGGAGGGGGCTGTGGAAGGTTAGAAACAATGTCCTCATGACAAAACAATCTGTGTGTCATATTAAAGGCTTCTCCTCAGTCTCAGGCCCATTTTCTTAGTAGTTCAACACACTGGGTTCCTTTCTGAAAAGAAGGACGGAACCTGCCTAGGCACGGAGACCGACGCGCGGAGCTGGGCTGCGCTGGGTGCAGCGTGGTGGCCGCCGGTGGAGTCCGTTCTGCAGGGGTTCAGCCCGTGCCTCCCTCAGCAGCTCACAGGGACCCAGCGTGGGAACTGCAGGAAGACCGTTCTTTGCCCCAGGAAAACCCTCATTTCCCCAGCTGTCCCCAGTTGCCTCTAGAGGTGCAGCGCTTCACCCTGGGAGGGAGGGAGACATTTAGGAAATAGCCGGGTGACAGCTCTGGAGAATAAAAGCATAATTGGACTATGTGACCTTCCAGCTCTGACATTATAGCAGAGTTTACCTAAACTACTGAAGAAACATACTCCTTAGGTGTGCTGCCACCTTTCAGTAGACCAGACTTTGAATGGGGTTCGTGCTCTTGGGAACTTCTGACAAGGTTTGTGATGCAGTAGGCTTAGGGTTATGCAGGGCCTGCCCGGGGGCTGCTTTGGTTCTCTGGTGCCCTAACCTGGTGGGTTAGGAGACCCTAGGGGAGGAGAGCCCCTCTCTTCTGCCAAGATGCTTCTTGCCCTGAGCTTGGCCAGCTGGACCAGACGAGCAGTGGAGGCAGCCAGTGCACCCCTGGGAAAGGGAGTCTGGTCTCCAGGGAGCTTTCTCGCCCTGCCACCCTCCCAGCCGCAGTTCTAGACAGAGGGATCCGGTCCCCTTGGGTTAGCTGTGCTCTGCCACATCATTAGAGGCAGGCACCGGGCCAGCCCAGAGAGCCAAAGGACAGAAGCAGCTGCTTCTGATACTATTTGCCCACAGTGGCCCTGTGTTTTTTCTGTGTGAGTCAGCAGCTGAGAGGCTTAAGTCATCTGCTCTGCCCTGGCTGAATTTAGGCACATCTTTGGGAATAGGTTTAGGTTCCCTTTCAGCATGCACAAGACGGCAAAGCTGGTTGATTCTTTTTAGGGCGTCTGTAAGAATGGGCGAATGTTTAGGTTCTCGGGGGTAAACCCTGTCACAGCACATCCTCAATTCATACTGAAAACCAAAGAGCCCAGAGGGCCCTGGCCCCTTCCAGAAGGACACCTGGTGTCCAGAGAGACCACCACTGTGCGTGTGGTTTTCTTTGTGGACGTTTTTGTTGTATCTTTATTGTACAAATAGTACCTAAATATATTGTGCAAAATATATTCTCATGCTAAAGGCGTCATAAACCTCCTTCGTCGTGTGCTGGAGGTGACCCATGCAGACGCGTAAAGTGTCTTAAAGTTCCCTTTGCTGCATTAACCTAACACGTGTACACATGCCTTAAAACAAACTGAGTCATATCAGCGGTTTGCTGCTTCTCACGTAATATGTTTGGGGCAGCATTCTGTGTCAGTCCATGTGCCACCTCACTGTATTTTTAGTCTTCATCTGAGGATATAGTTATTGATTTGAGAGAGAAAGAGAGAAATATTTACATGAGAGAAAAGCATCGATTGGTTGCCTCCCATGTGTGCCCCAGCTGGGGATTGAACCCGCAACCTCTGGCGTATGGGACGATGCTCCAACCACCTGTGCCTCACGGCCAGGTCACCTCACTACGTTTTAATAGGCAGGCAGCATATTCCATAACCTAGTATCTTCTTATCATAACTCGTCTAGGCACTCGCCTAGTGACGTACATTTAGGTTCTTTCCAAATTTCTACTATTACACATAAAGCTTGTGTGTGCATAAATCTTTGTCAGTGTTCCCTCCTTCCAATGTTGAAGGGAAGAGAGAAGAGCGCTGTGTTATTTCCCAGAAGGATGAGATTATGTTCCAGGATAGTCTGCATTCCTGAGTTCCTATTTCAAGTAAGCAGGAAAAAATGCCCCCTTGTATACACTCCACCTCTAACTCCTTCTGGCCTCTGACTCTGTCAAAAGATCGGAGGAGGCATTTTGACGTGCTCCCCCCTTCAGGGGTAGAATTGCAACATTCAGCGGGTTTCCTGACGTGTTCTCGGAGCACACTATCACTTTCCTTCCTGACACTGCAAGGGTAGCAGTTAGGTGATTATTTGTGTTACTTGTTGAATACAGTCTCTCCACCAGACTGGACTTTCACTGGGGACAGGGACCATCTGTCCTCTCTGGGGATGACTGCTCTGACCATAGCTGCCAGCAGAAAACTTGATGGATGGTACCCATTCAGTAGGTGGTGCGAATGGAAAGAATTACCAGGGGTGTCAGTAGGATGCCCAAGACTTATTATATTATCTATAAGATGTGGTTATGAGAGCAGAGAATATGACTTGACAGATAATAAGCAAGCATTCAGTAATGATGAGATCAATTTTAAAAATACACCAGAACTTACCCAAGTAGCATTTGTTCTGCTTCTGTGCACGCTGTTCCCTGACTTCGAAAGACCCAGCGAATCACAAGACCCACATTTAATTATTTACTGCTCCCCTTTTTGTCACCCCACTGCACCACCTCAAGAACAGAGGAAGAAAAGAAAATGAGGCTGCTGGAAATAATCCATTATTTAGAAATAGGTGAATCCCCATCCCCAGCAAAAAGCGAACCTACTTATATCTCTCAGAACCTCTGCGGGAGCTAGGTTTGGATTAGTGACATCATTTTTAAAAAAAAACATGCAAACACCACTTCCTCTGCAGATTGCATCTTGGGATTGCTTTCTTCTCACCCCCTAACTGAGGCCACCAGAGTCTGGACAGAGTGCAGAGGAGAGACAGTTTGGGAGCACTGGGCCCTGGTGGACTGAGGCAGGCACAGCTGTGTGCCGTGGGGTTACTGAGGGCAGCAAAGAGGACTTTCCAGATACTTTATTTGTCAGGTGTCTGCATGGCTGTGGCTTTGTGGTGAAGTTCAGACAGTAAGAAGAAATGAGAGCCCTGCTTTTTTGTCTTTGACACACCCCAAACTTGGTCTTTTCTCCAGAGCTAACTACTATTACTGTTTTTGTCTTTTTCCTTTTAGACACATTGCTTTATGTTCCTAATGAAAAAAAATTGATTTTATTAGCATTTTACCATTATTAAATTGTTAACAGTATTATGCTGTGTATTAAAAATGTACAATTTGATCTGTAGTATGTCCTGGGGATATTTTCATGTCAATGTGTGTAAATCTGCCTCATTTGGCTTAGACATGGCATAATTTTTTGTTGTATGAATACAGAAAATGTAACCGTTCTATTAAGGGACATGTAAGTTCATTCCACTTTTTCTTTGTACAAACAATGGTTCAATAAACATGCTTGGACATGCCTCCTCATTGAAAATGTCACGCGTCTCAGACTTTTGGGTCACTTTACACTCTTACATTTTATGGAGGATTCCGAAGAGCTTTTGTTTGTGGGCTGTATCTATAGGTTTTTATCATCTCAGAAATTAAAACTGAAAAATATTTATTTTTCATTAATTTGAAATAAGTCCATTACATGTTAACATACATATTTTTATGGAAAAAATAACTTCAAAGATAAGGCGTAGTAGGAAGAGTGGCATTGTTTTACAATTTACAGATTTCCTTAATGTCTAGTTTAATAGAAGACCACTGCACTCTCCTACTTGCTTCTCATTCATTATGTGGTGATAACCGGTGTCTGTAGCCTTTGGAAATTCTATTATATACACTAATGAGAGAATGAGAATAAGAACACAAATAACAATCTCGTATCATTGTGAAAGGATGTTTAAAGTCACGAACCTCCTGAAAGTCTCCGGTTCCAGACCACACTTGGAGAACCATGGCTGTGGGGTCAGCCCAGAGGGTGGAGTTCACAGTTAGAGGGTCAAAGGTGTGCACATTTCGGATTTAAGGGGCACTTCTCGGTGCCCTCCAGACTGCCGGTTCGCACTGCCATCCACAGTCGCGGTTTCCAATTTGCCATCCTTATGATGGAAATGGCATCTCCCTGTTGTCCTTCGTAGTTCCCTTTTGCACCGGGACTTCACATGACATACCTCTGGGCTCTTGCTGGAACACTGGCAGTGTTCTGGGGACTGCCCACTCTCTCCAGGCTACTCACCGGGCCTTCGGCCTGGGGCATTTGATCTTCGAGAGACATCAGGTGTTAGCTGGTTCTTGTCGGCTTATCAAATCTGCCCCTCTCCAAATGCCTCTTAACTATCTCTGTCTTCTTTTTTCAAACCAAAGTTAAAAAAATGTTGTTTCACTCTGAGCCCTCTGTTTTCTGTTTAAATTTAGTCAACTAAAGAAACTAGCAATTTTCATTTATTTAATGTTAACATCAGCTTCACATTTCATGATTGAATGTAAGGGTTCTCAGAGTTTACAAAAAGCTCCGGTGTGGAGAGGTTACTTTTCAGAGAAAGAGAGAGGTTCTTACCCCTGCCTGCCGCGTTTTACCTCTCCTCTCCGACAGCGCTAGGTTTTCTTTTGCAAAACAGGTAATGATAAATGTGATAACACCTGGGAAATGTGAAAACACCTATTAAATGTGATAATATAGGGGAAAAGACCTAACACATGGCTTGTAGTCAGTACATGTCGGTTAACTCTGAAGCTACTGCACATTAAGCTTCTGCGATCTGAAGGTGCTCTGCCACACTGTGAGCCGCCATGGAAGCTGTGACAGAGGCCCCGGGCTGCTTCTCCCCAGTTCTCACTCACATTCAGGAGCCACTCTGATGGGGGCATGCAAGCTCAGCCGGGCTGCATCTGGGTGATGGTAACTGTGACTCGCCTCCCTTCCTTTGTCCAGTGTCCCTGCGAGGGAGGAGCATACAGCGGTTGATGGTTTCAACATTCTTCTTAAGGCTTCATTCCTTTGAAGTCTCTGTAAACACTCTAAGCCTTAATGTAATGAGTATATTTTTTTTCCTGCACACATTGAGGTGAATACCAGAAAAATGGTGTACTTTTAAGAATTGTAGGAACACTATAACGACACTTATAACAGTGTGGAACAGCTCTGTGGGGCTTGTGTGACCAGAGGTATCTCACCTTAGGATCAGTTTCACCCCTAGTAACGTGAGGACATTGGACCGCAATAGTTATTAGATGCATTCCGGTGCCCTGCTGGTCCTGGAGGTATGGTTCATGCCCCACCTTACAGCAATCACTCTTGTTTACTTTTTGTTTCCATTCATTCATGTTCTCATTCATCTGACACTCACTGAGCGCCGTGCTGTGCACTAGGCCCTGGGGGGATGTGCCATGTGGCAGTGAAGAAGGCAGACATGGACCTGGGAGCATGCAGCCTGGCAGGGGAGATGGCTTCCCATGGTTCCAGAGTTCTGGCTGTGATAAGGGCTTTGGAACAAGCGCCATGGCGGGGAGTCTTGCCCAGTCAGGGGCACTGGGGATGGCTTTGTGGAGAAGCGGCACTTGGGCAAAGTTATCCATCAGCATCGGTGAAGCCTCGGCCATGGTTTTCCAGAGAAACAGAAAAGGATCAGTGTTACTGGGACCCGTCGAGCAGCGGGGAGGGTGAGTGGTCCGAGGAGATTAGAGAGGTGGGCGGCAGGGGTTTGATCATGGTGGGCCCTGTGGGATTTGGATTTCAGAATTTACCCAGAGCGGTCAGAGGGCTTTTAACTATTATTGACATAATCAGGTACACATTTTTACCTGACCCCAGATTCTTTGTGAGAATGGAATGGAAATGTACAGTGATTAGGCAGGGGCTACGGCAGGTAATTTCAGGCTCACTCTGCGCACGTCGAGGACGGGACGGCCATGTGTGTCTTAGACTCCACCATGGCACTTTGTATGGGACAAGTATTCCATAAACATTTATCAGGAGCTGTTGCTGTGAGCTTGGTGGGATTACCGACTGCCTCCCATTCGTCCCAGGACGCTAGAACTGATTCGAGAAGGACCTGAGCCAGTCACATCCATCAGCTCTACTCCTGGGCTTCATGGTCACCTTTGAAGCTTGTTCTGGCACAGGGTATGGTGAGGAAGACGGCTGTGCCCGGCGGGCATGAGCCAGGGCCAGTGTGAAAGCGTGGTCCTGGTTGGGCCTGGCAGTTGGTCCTCCTCACCTGGCAGAGCAGGAAGCCCCGTCTGTTGAGGGGCTGTGAAAATCCACAGCTCTGGGAGCCCTGACCCCGGCCCCGGAGGCGAACAGCCGGAGGGGTGGCTGTCCTGAGGGAAACGTTGCCTCTCACCTCTGCACTTAGGCAGTTAGTGGTTCCTAATGCCCTCCTTCCCCTGCTGTCGTTAGGACCAATGTTAACAGCTACTCTGTGTGTGTGTGTATTATTAATACTACTTTTTTAGAGCAGTTTTAGGTTCACAGCAAAACTGAGGGGAAGGTACAGAGATTTACCTTATACTCCCTGGCCCCACCCATGCATAGCCTTTTCTATGATCAGCGTCCCCCGCCAGAGTCACACAGTGTGTGGGTTTGGACGAATGTGTTATGACATGTATGATACATGTCATCATATATCACTATGGTATCATACAGAGTATTTTCACAGCCCTGAAACCCCTCCATGCTCTGCCTGTTCAACACCCACCTGGAGAGGGTGCCCGGTCTGTTCGAGTCACCGCCAGCCCTGTCCCCAGTTCCTGAACCACTGCAATCTCAGTGGGTCATCAGAACCAGACGTGCAAGGGTTACAGACCTGAGGACATTAGCACACAGCTGCCCCGCCCCATCCTGGCTGGACTCTGCGTTCCAGGCACAAAGGTCTGCTCCCCTCTATGCTGAAAGGTGGACTCCAAAGACTCCAAGCCTTTATTTGTTCTGCTTCCCTATCCTGTGTTCTTCCCTCCCTTCAAACATGAGCACCCACCATGGCTCAGCTTTACCCCCAGGTAATTTTTTTGTCCATTGACATTAATGGTTCATTTCTTGGCCCCCCTGGGCTGTAAGCTCTCAGAGGACAGGGATCTTGCCTTCTTTCTCTTTGAATCCCTGTTTCCCACGTGGCACCGTGTACAAAGGAGGTGCCCAGTGGATGCTTTCGGGGTTGAGTTCAACACCACTGAGTTCTGAGTGCGTTGGGGTGGACATCTGCACTTTGTTGCACCATAATGGAGACGATAAAAGCAGAGTCCTTGGGGAGCGGAGGGGTCCTTGGGTCCCTCTGGTGCACTGCCGGCACGGAGGCCCCGTGACATTAAGTCCCCAGCTCTGGTGAACTCGGATGCCTCTTTTCTGAGGTTTTGCATCTCACGTGAAACCCTGATAGTCTATTTACAATGTCTTTGTATGTGCATGACCAGTCTAAATAATGGTAACAGTCATTTTAAGTTCCTTTCATTTTATTGGAGTCACTAATCATTGATTCAGTGCTGAATTTAGATGCTCAAGGCCTCCTACACAAGAGGGTTTCTTTGTTGCAGGAACTACAAAAGCTAGCTGTTAAAAGTGTCACAGAAAAAAATGTCCAGCCTAAGAAAAAGTCTTATAACTGTTTATCTGAGCCAAACAGACGATTGGGAAGCAAAATCTCAACAGATTGAGAAAATGCTCCCAAGAATGGCAGTTTTACAGCTTATTTTATTTGTACTTTAGAATCAAAGGAGGAGACATATTAGGGAGGGTAGTTACATGAAATCCATTGGTGGTAGATTAGGGAGGTGGGAGAAAACAAAGCGGGAAATCTCAGAGACTGGATAAAAAGTGAAATGGAGAGACACATAGTTCTTTTACATCGGTGGGGACAGGATAGTTAGGATTGGCATTTACAGAATTGGTATTTGAGGAATAAGGTGGCGATAAAGGATTCTGTGGTCTGCCGCTCTGGTGGGAGACTGTGCCTTCGGGACCTGGAGAAGGAAATCACTCTGACATTTCAAGGGCAAGTGATCTTAGATGCAAAAAGACTAAAGACATGTTCAATGAGGATGAAGACTGACCTTCGTCAAGGAGGATACCAGCCTGTTTCATGACTGCCCACCACGACTGGCTTTTCGTTAGGAATTTTTATGTTCAGACCATCTGACATGACTACCTTCAGCCTCTGAGTCTGCAGGATCCATGGTACAGGCCTCCCTGAACTTGTGAGGTTTAGTACGTGGCCCCTTTTTTGTCCACAAAGGCATCTTTGAGGGAGAGACATTACAGGGACATAACAAAGTTTGGTCCAGTTTCAGGCTGTGGCCCTGTGAAATCTAAGATCCCAGCTATCCAAGACCCAGGGTGTGTTCAAGAGTTGCAGAAAATAAAACAAGTAAACTGGTAAGGGCAGGTGAAATTGGAATAATTATGAGTGCACTAAGAAAGTAATACAGGAGGTGACAAAGGAACCCTGTATCTTTTTATCTCCAATGCTCCTCATGGTGTTTGACACATAGAAATAAAAAAAAATCTACCGCTTACTTAATTCTTACTGGGTGCTGACCCTGTGGCCTACATTTCTTTTAATCCTCATGGGAATTCTGTGAAGTTCTGCAAATGAGAAAATTAGATTCAAAGAGGTTAAGTAGCTTGCTAGTAAGTGAAAGGGAAAACCCAATGCCTGTTGGTTATAACGGGGTCTTTTAAAAACAGTGTTCAGGAATAACAATTCCAAAACCTCTTTTTATAGATTTGCCTATTTTTTTTCCTTTTAGGCTGAAATTCCTTCCCCATATCTAACTGGACTTTTATATTTTTTCATACAGATTAGGCCTCCATGTCAGTGAAGACTAGCTGGACAGTCATTTTTTCTAAGCATTTTATACTTAAACATGCTTATTAAACATGTTTATTAAGATGCCCCCTGACATTAAATGATTTATTCCTTTAACTTTAATGTTAAACTTTCACCTTTGGTGGGGGGCAGCATCCAATTTTTCATGTCCATTTTGGGACGGTGCCCATTTTTCCAGTTGCCCTGTTACAATGCAGAAGGCAGAACCACATTTCCTGTAGTGGAATTGTGACCCATCTGGGGTTGCCATGGGGACTTACTTCCTGGATCTCACATGTCATGTTCCTGCTGTGGCATTTTTCATGATGTAGTTTATTCTCTCTGGCCCTTTCCTTCCAGGGGTCCAGCCTCCACCCCTCCCGAGTGAACTAACTCCATGCCTGCAATTCTGTCTATCGGCCAACAATCTGTCTCCTTCCGCACAAAGTAGCACCAGGTCTGGATGAGGTCTTCAGGTACCAGCCAGTGACCACATGGGGCTTCTCTTACAGACTCTGTGATTTTTGATGACACTTTATGAAAGCGAACTTTGGTCCCTAACTGGTGTGGCTCAGTAGATTGTGTGCTGGCCTGCAAACCAAAAGGTCGCAGGTTCTAAAATTAAATAAATAAAATCTTTACAAAAATAAAGTGGACTTTGGGCCTAGAGTTCGGGACCAGGCTTCTGGGGAGATTGAGTCTAGCTGGCTCTTTCCCGTTGCCTCACACATTGTTGACTGGCTTGCATTCCACAGTTCCTGTCCTTCTCTACCCCACCCTGCCTCCATGCCCTGGTCTCCCATTCCCAGGGTATCCTCACACGGGGAAAGAGCAGGGCCACACACGTGGGATTATATTGCAGCTGTACCAAGTGTTATCTGTCCGACTTGGGAAGTTACTCAGTGTCTCTGAGCCTGTATTTCCCCATCTGACAAATGAGACCAAATATGATGACTAGTTCACAGTTTTGTTTTGTTTCCTTTTGTTTTGTTTTTATTGGATTGAATGAGAGCACCTAATTCCTATGTAATCATAGAATTTAGTAAATGACATGTTAGGTGATTCTGTTTTGGAAAGTAGCTTATATGAGAAACGTTTGTGATACCTACATAGGGGAATACCTGTGTATTTACAATGGGAGAGTCACAGTGGCTCATATGCCTCTTTTTCTAACATGTAAATGATTTGTGCCACCAAGTTAGAGGACCTTGGTGAAGCAAGCTGTGGAGGAATGTAGCATGCATACGATGCTCAATCACCCCAAGCTCTCCTCTTGGTTCCGTTTAGTGACGTGCCTTTTTTCAGAACTGGTCTCTGGTCTTTGTGCATTTTGTTTTTTGTGCACAACACAGCAGCTTCAGCCCCTCCCTTACCACAGTCCTTTAGCCTCTAGTATGTTTCTATCAGGATTGTTCCTATTTGGTTTGTGTTCTAGGTACAAAATCTGCAGAGATTTTGAGTGATCTGCCCCAATCCTATATGCTCCATAAATTGTTATTTTTAGTGATTTTGCAAAACACTATTTTTAACACATAAATAGCATTATAACAGAGATGTTTGTGTTGATTTTTCTTCTACCTCCCATCTGACCTTTGCATTAATCTTTATTTCATGGAACCAAAGTCTTGACCTGGACCAGGTGAGGACCTACAAGTGACAGAAGGAGACTTCAGGCAGATGTGTGCGGGGACTATTTCTTCACATTCTCTCACACCTGGATAATGGCAGTAGGTTCCTACCTGGTCTCTGCCTTGTGTTCTTGACCCCAAATGGCCAGTTATTGACATAACATCCAGTGTAAACCTTTTACCATATTTTGTTTATAATGCACACTTTTTGCTTAACTTTTTGAGGGAAAAAATAAGGACACACATTCTACATGGGCAGTACTAATTCTGTATCTATATAAATGTTAATTCTTTTATTTATGCTTATGCATTAAAAGTATAACTCTAGAGAGCAATAACAATATCCATATGCAAAATAATACCCTGGAATGCAATAATCAGTTTTGTTTCCAAATATAAATAAATAAATAATTGAATTAAAAGATTAAAACAGAAGTTTTTTCTCCCCTGAAAGTTTGGGCCAAAAACATGAATGTGCAGTATACACGGGAACACATTATATACAGCAAAATACGGTATTTATTTTATTTTTTAACGGGCTTAGCTCACTTTATTCATTTTTCTTGTATAAAATTATGTGGTGGCCACACGTGGAGCCTGGGCCCTCTGCACAGACACTCTGGGACAGGTCTTTACAAGATGCTCAGTGAACTCCTGGTAGGGAGACTTGGTGAACACAGTCTGTTTCCAGAGGTCAGAGGTGAGGTAGCTGTGGGTCTTGGAGACGTCAAAGGTGGCCTTGGCAAAGTTGCCCAGGGTGGCAGTGCAGCCCTTGGCCCAGTTGTAGCAGGTATTGATACCAGCCATTTCAGTACTTTCTTGGGCACAGGGGCCGAGACATTGCCAGTGCCCCGGGGGGCAGGGATGAAGCCGCCAGCACAGAGCCACAGTGGCCAGTCACCTTGCAAAGAACAATGTGAGGCTTGCTGATCTCATTCCCCCAGTAGCCTCACTGCATGGGGACAGTAGAGAGCTTGGCCAAGAGGGTGGTCCCATGGATTGTAGCAGCTCCTTCCTTGGAGCACTTAAAACTCAGACTGACGTTTCCATTGTAGTTCCCAGTGGTGACAAATGCCTTGAACTAGTATGTGTCTGCTTTTGCACAGACATAATCTTCGAAACCTCGGCCTTAAGGGATGGCCCCAGGAAAAAGGCAGTGCTCTCAGATTCCTAGATTGGCAGGGAGAAGAGATAGATTTCCTCCAGGGACTTGCGCTTCATGTCCTCGACCAGGCGACCCAGCTTGGTGAAGGGGATCCACTCCTTGTCTCGACATTGCCTCCACTAACCCTGCAGCCCCGGCTGTGGCCATGGCTCCACCCCAGCCCCAGCCTCTCTTCGTCCCCACGCCACTGCCATATTATGCACAGAAGCCCCTGCAGCCTCCTGTTCCAGGGTCCCTGGGCCATACGCTGTCCCACCACACCGCAATCATCCGCCATTTGGTGTTTCCTCAGAGAAGCAGCCAGGGTAAACCTTGTAAAATGAAAATCAAAAGATATCTTTGCTTTAAAAATTCTGAAATTATTGCATGTGAATTTTAGCATTGATCAAATGAGTAACTATCATATGTTGATACAGTCGGGCTCACTATGAAAGAAGGAAGATACAAATATGGAATGGGGTTCAGCAAAGAAGAAACCAGTGGTGTTGGATTGAATGAGAAGTTTCAGTATAAACACACACACACACTGATTTCCTAGCTATGGCTGCTGAAAGGGCCTAGAGCAGTGCCATCCCCAGTAGTACTGAGTGCATCTAGCATCTTGGTTTCAAAATTGTATTACCTGCTAAAAGCAACCGAGGGCTACCAGAACACCTTGTGCCAGGACGTGTGGACAAGAGGAGCCTGTCAAAAGGACACAGGAGCTAGTTTGACTGAAACAGTGTGCACATCAAGATGGCTAACAATGTTATGAAATGTTGAAAAGTAAGAGACTGCAGAGTTCATATTTAAATAAAAAAGAACAAATAAATGCAGGGAAAGGGAAGTTCCTCTTTATAGTAAAATACCAACTAATAAATGTAGAGGGAAGGATAAAGTTGGAAAGTCTTCTTCACTTTGCGGTCACAGTTGAAGTGTTTCATTTCCTACCGAGTGAGTTTGTTAGGGATGGAACATTTACACAGTCTTGGGGCCTCCCCATAGCGACTTAGGTCACAGGGAAAAGGCACATTTCACAGCAGAGACCTGGCAGACAGCACCTTACCTAAGTGGTCATTCATAGGTGACATCACCAGCATGGTGATGGCGGCTGCAGGTGTCCTGTAGAGGGCCCACACCCCTCCATGGGATTCCCGCAGGGGTGCAGAACCTGGATGGGGCGTAGGGAAACCATCAGGCAAGCATCACACTTGGGGCCCATGGAGAATGACAGGGGAAGGCTGTAGAGCCCTTCCAGGATGAGGCGACAAGACAGCAAAATGTAGAGGGTGGTGCAGGATCAAATCCTGATTGGAGGGAGAAAACAGTTGCTTCAAAAGATAGTTTGGGGACTCAGTGTCAATTACAGTATTGTATCAGATTTTTTTCCTAATTTTGTAGTTGCATTGGGTTATATGCAAGAAAGTCTTGTTCTTAGAAAATACACACTTCTGAGACTAGAGGGTCATGGTCTCTGCAATTTACTCTCAAGTAGTTCAGGAAAAAAAAATATATATATATATATATATATATATATATATATTGGATTGGTCAAAAAGTTCATTTTTTTTTCCATAAAATGGTTCTAGTAGCACTTAGTTGTTAGACTGTATTGTGATCGTTGTCACGCCAGTGTGCATTTTTTTAAAAAATTATCAAAACTGGTGAACTTTTCTGTGGCCATTTTAATGTTGAAGATGGAAGAAAATATGCAGCATTTTTGGCATATTATACTTTATTATTTCAAGAAAGGTAAAAAGGCATTGGAAACACACAAAAAAGATCTGTGCAGTATGTGAAGAAGGTGCTGTGCCTGATCAGCCGTGTCAGAAGTGGTTTGCGAAGTTTCGAGTTGGAGACTTCTCGCTGGACGATGCTCCACCGTCAGGCAGACCAGTCGAAGTTGATAGCAGTCAAATCAAGACGTTGATAGAGAACAAGCAATGTTATACCATGTGGGAGATAGCCGACATACTCAAAATATCCAAGTCAATAAAGTGATTGGTGAAAATGAAAAATGGCTTTTATTTTATGGAAAAAACTAAATGGACTTTTTGGCCAGCCCAATATTACATATTCTTCTGTATAGAGAAAGGACATGTGGCAGAATGTTGACAGTGGTTGAATCTCAGTTCCAGAGTGTATGGGATTTCACTGAAGTAGTCTTTTTTAATAATAATGTGTCTTATGCAGGTTTAAAATCTTATTTATTTTTTCTTTCAGTTTTACTGAGAAATAATTGACATATAATGTTGTATACGTTTCAGGTGTACAACATGATGATTTGACATATGTACACATTGTGAAATGGTCACCACAGTAACTCTAGTTAAAACACATCACCTCACATACTTGCAGACTGTGTATGTATGTGTGTGTGTGTGTGTGTGTGTGATGAGAACTTTTAAGATCTACTCTCTTAACCACTTTCAAATATACAATCCAGTGGTGTTGACACATAGTCACCATGCTGTACATCATAGCCCTGTGACACTTTTTTAGAACCTGAAGTGTGTGACTTTGACTGCCTTTGCTCATTTCCCCCGCCCTCTACCTCCTAACCTCCGGCAGCCACCCTTCTGTTCTGTTTCTGAGTTCCATTTTGTCGGCTGAAGCATGTAAGTGAGATCATATAATATTTGTTTTTCTCTCTCTGCCTTTTGTCACTTACCATGAGGCTCTCACGGTGCATCCATGTTGACACAGACCGCAGAATTTCCTCCTTTTTTATGGCTGAATATCACTGTAATATTCTTGCAACATTTCTGTGGGTCTGGGAAAAATTCAAAATAACATGTCTAAACAAGAGATGAGGTACCTACAGCAAAATGTCAATATTACTTTAAACTCCTAGGTATATGTTATATTATTTTCTATAATTTTCTGTATGTTTGAGTTAATCTCAGAGAACAAATTTTTTAATAAAATAAAATTTAGATACGTCAAGTAATCTTTTTTCTGCATGTTTTACTAGAACATTGAGGTTTGCCTTTCCTCCCCTGGTGCTCAGATTATGAAAATTTTCTTCACTGGACAACTGGTAGGTTTTACATTGGATTTATACAAGTTCTTCTTTTGTGTGGTGTAGACATCTGGGTGTCGACGGAACTGGGTCTCCACCACAGGAGAGAAACCCTTCAAACCGCTGTTTAATTCTCTAGTCTCTTCTTCTGCACAGAGTCTGGCTTCAGGGTCCCTTGGAGCCATTGTCTCAGTCCAGCTTCCTTTTCTCTCCTCTTGCACGAAGCAGGCCAAATAATATTATATTGTTCATGCCACCATTCTCGTTTGAACTAAAGGAGACCTTGCAGGTTCCATCTGAGGCTCGCCATCTTGGTTTGTGTTCCCTGTGGCCATGTGGTCCAGTGCTCACACATCCTGGACCATGTGGTCGGCAAGGATAGCTTATCTTCCCCCCATTAGTGAGAGCATTGTGCACCGAGGGGGCCTTTATCCAATGAGTCAGACCCAGAAGGGGAAAACATTCCTTTTGAAATGCCAAGCAGTTGCATATTGCTCTGTACAATGTGAGTGGATAGTGAAGTGTCTGGGTACTTCTTGGAACTTGTTTAGAAGTTTATGTTTGATTATGTCCATCTTAGCAAAGGAGCAGATGTTAGCTCCAGTTGGTTGTCTTTAAAAGCCAGGCTCAGCTGTCGACAAGAGACCTGATGAATCAACTTGGTCTAAAGGAAAAGAAAACTGTCATTTCAATTCAGTTTGGTTTTGTTTGGGCTACAGAGAGTACTTATATTTCTGTACTGGTTTAACGCTCATGTGTGCCTTGCGGTCGGTTCCTATAAAAACAAAGGCAGTAATGGACAGTTTGGGACTTCCAGACGTAGTTATGTCCTTGTGTTTGAAACTAGAGGTACATGTGGATAAAAGTCTGATGAAGAGGTGGAAGGGGAGGAATTTGGCTCCTTTTTTCTTTAATTTAAAGATCTAATTGGCTTTATTGAACAGTTCATGAATCGGGCAACATCCCATCTAGTAAATAGAAAGGTATTCCTTGGTTCTTTTTAAGAAAGAGAAGTTATTCTGAGATTCCTAGAATTTTAATGTATTTTAAGATTGTGGGGAGCCCTAGGTATTTGACAGGTGGAGTCGTCTGTGGCAGACCTGTTGGGTTATCTGCTTTTATTATGTTGGGGTCAAAGTTACTTTAGATTCAGAC